TTCCTGCAGTACTTTCCAGTTGTGAAGCCTTTGTATTCACTAAGGAACTATGTACTCTTAGTCTGCTTTGAAAGGGCTAATGTCTAGTATAATGACAAAATCACTAATCTGTTCTCCAAAGTGTTCAAGCAAATATATTTCTACTAGACAAACATAATTGTGAATTGACTGTTAGTGAGGCTGTTTCTTCTCTAATGATCACATAATATCCAAATTATATCAGCTTCATTATTTCCCTCTTTCCTTTTCCTAGCCCTTTCCCTTTATTTCTTCTTTCTCTTGAAGACTATTTCAAATTACCTATTCGTCTTCATCACTGCCCCCAAAACTCTAATAATAATGACCCCTAACTGTTCATTTCTCTTCCTTTGTCCACCCCATTCTGAACATCCTTCTTTAAGCTTTATTTAATGAAAGAACACTAAAGTGAGTGAGTTCATAAACTTGAGACTCGTAGGCAGAGTGAAGCATGTCTTCATTTTTGCTTCAGAGTTTAAAAGTTATCAATATTCTTTTAAGAGTAGGAGGACCTGAGTCACAGTTTTAAATGTCAACTGTACTAGCTGAGGTCATTAATTCCCCTTACCTTCACATTTGGCCAAAGATGAAGAGAAAAATATTTTCTGTTTTTTTTTAAATACCACAGTGTTCAAGTTCTTGATATGAGTAAACCACTTATGATGGAGAAAAAAAAAATCATGAATGTTGACTGTTTCCACTAGTCAAATTACTTACCAGACTTTAGATTATAGGAATCTGAAGAAAAGAGTAACATTTCAAAGCAATTTTGATAACTGTTCAAGCCTTAGTGAGCTCTTCTCAAACAAGAAAAGCCACATCCACTTGAACACATTGTAGGAAAAATTAGGAAGAATTTTTTTATTTAATACCTTTTGGAAAAAAAATCATTGATTGGTTTATAACTTTGGGCAGTAACTTACTAATGGATGAAAAGATCCATAAGGTTTTTAAAGTGTCTGTTTTTGCAACCAGAGATTGCCTAAATATAAACAATATATGCTTAAATAAAATAACAACAGGGCTAAATGGATACCTAAAGAGCCATGCAGTGCACTCCCCAGCACCTAAATACTCACCGTATAATTTGGTTGTCATGCTAGATCTCACTGCAATGGATTACAACTGTCTGGTCACCAGAGCATTGCCCAAAAGACTGACTGATGCCATTCTGGGTATATCCCTTTCAGGATGCTTATAATGTCACATTCACAACAACTTTGTAGCATAGTCTTCCCTGACTTCTGGTCCAATGTTCTTGCCATGATATCACATCGCCTCTCAGCTTTAATGAAGACAAGTCCTATGACATTTAGAGTACTATGTGGTTTTGAGTGCATAGGCGGGATGCTTTCAGTTCTTGCTTTACCCTTTGACAAAAAGAGTCAACATTTAATATCAGAAATGTATTTTTATTTGACTTGAGACTTGACCCAGCTTTTATCTTAATCAAACCAGTTTATAACATCAACTCACACCATAGAGAACAATGAAATAAATAGCAGCTTTGAAAGCCTTTATGAGGCATGCGTCTAGTAGGAAAACAACATCTCTTAAAGGCAATATTTACATTGCTTAGGACTGTGATCTTCACTTGGAATGTTCTCCCAATCAATCCTATATCCTTCTTTTTCTTTGTCCATTCTAACTCCTGGTATTTTTTTTTTCTTAAAGTACTCTTTATCTAAAGTACTCCTCTCCTTAGGCACTGGCTTACAAAGGAAGAAAGACTTTTAAATACTAAAATGCTATCATTTAAAGTATAATATGGAGGAGGAGAGGCTCTGATTCTGATAGATCTTACTTGGTCCTCTTAATCTGGGATGCCTTCTTGACGCTATTCTTTCTAGTTCCCCAAGAAGTATTCCAACCCTAAGACCCAGAATTTCTCATCACAACCTCTGTGTTAGTCTCAGATTAATATCTAAATCCTGTTTGATATTCTAGAGACTCCAGGGTGTGAATTTATTATTGCTTATGAGCCTCCTGTCTTTCCAAGCTGACACCTGTCAGGAGCATCAATAGCCTTAACAGTAACTAATGCATCAAAATAATAGACAGAAACACTATAGTATATATTTGTGAGGATAGGAAGAGATTTTTTTTTCTTCTTTTCTCCATAAAAAGCTTGCTTCGCTCCCCCTCCTTCCCCAACGCGCGCGCGCGCACACACACACACACACAATGCATTTTGGAACATCTGCATCTTATTTTACAGATATGTAGCTCTAGAATTTACAAATATAGCTTAGGAAATGTTCTGAGATTGAGGCTGGTAGCAAACAAGTTTATTTTCTGCACTGGACTTCAGGATAAGTGTGCATAGATGCAATTCCTTCAAAGAAAGTGAAACATGGTAAAGCAAAGGGATAATACTTTCACACATTCAAACAGTTGTTTGCTATCTGTAAACCTTGATTTAAGCATAATTGTTACTTTTTAGAAATCTGAAACTGGAGGAATGTGTATTTTAGTAAAGTTTGTTTGTTGATTTATTTGTTTCCCTTTCTCTCTCTCTTCTCAAGATAGTGAAGGATTTTTATTTCTTAATTTGATACTGTCCATGGACAGTCAAATAACTGCTCACCCTTACTGTATTATTTTCCCCTTAGAAAGAAAATCCTTCCATCCTACCATGAAGGAATTTTTCCTCCACAAAAATTTTATCTTCCATTTCAAATAGCACTCATGAGCTTTTAAGACAGAAATTCTCTCTTTACTTTGAGGTTAGAATAGTTAAAACAAAAACCTGTTCCTTGAGAAAGAAACCCTATTTACCTAAACTAACATGTCTGGGGCCAAAGAATAGATTTTTAATTGATTGCAGATGAAGACCATGCATTTTTGTACTACAATCCTTATTGCCTTCTCAAATCCTTTTTGGAATAAGGCTGGGAATAAATTAGTTTAATTAAATTTTTTGGGTATTTCTAGTTAATATCTACTGCAAGATACCCAGGAAAGAAAAAGAAGGGGTGCTGCTAAAATGCCAAAACCAATTGATCTGTTGATTTTTATCATTGTAGTTGTTGCTTTTCTAACCATTTCAAGACTGTCTGTGTTCATGAAGTCTTAAGTAGAGAAACATCTGTTTTCCCATTGCTTCTCTCTCCTTCCCCACACCCCTGCACCTGCCCTGACCCCAGGCACTAGAGGGAACAGTAACAGAGGGAGATTGACACTGCATTGCCAGTACTTCACCCATCTATACCCCTCCATCACACAAGAAGGAAAAAACAAATTAGAAACTTTTAAAAGAAAAAAGGAAATTGTAGTACTTCATTTGAAAGCATACTGTTTTCAACTCAACTCAATTAACAGATAGCCTGACAACGTTTTTGTAACCTGTCTTTTGTGCTGTAATTGACATTCTTGGCTCAATCTTTAAAATAATTGCATTTTCAGTTAAGTGAACAGAGAAAAACAAAGAGGGAACAGGACAATGTGATGGGACCAAATTTCATACAGGTCTGGATTCCTAAAGCCAATTGTCATGATTACCAGAGAAAGTTAGCACTACGCACCCCTTGTCATTCTTGCCTGTCTCTCATCATTACAATTCAAAGAATTAGTGAGGTAACTATACTTCTTTGTGATTAAAGATTTCTCTTCCTGCTGCCAAACACATCTAGAGAAATTGTAGAAACTCCTGACTTATATACCTATTGTGCTCTCCGGGCACAAGAGGAGTGTACAGAGAGATCACTGAAAGTAAAATAATAGTTCAGATTTCAAATAATATTTTCCTGTAGTTCAAAGTGCTTTATGCATGTTCACAGCTAGGGGAATCTTTGGAAACAAAGGCTAGTTACTCTGCTCTTGCTCTCCTTGGGACAAACTTTAATTTGGAACCAGCTGTAGATTTGTAGGAGAAAATTCTCAAAGGTATTTTCAGCCGCTAAACTTCTTCCTTGGGCCCATTGATTCGAACCTCAGTTTTCTTGAGGAGCCTATTGAGATATAAATTAAGGGTGATTTGCATATATCTAATTAAAATTGTTCCTGCACTACTGTTGAAAGAATTACGGTTTTCAGAGTAGATGAAAGCAAGGTGTCTTAGTAATCTTCATCATGGCAAACAAAGGTGAGAAGCTGATGTGATAGAGAAAATCTATGGTAACTTGATATTTTAGGATAATTTGAGTGTGCTGACCCCACTATGCTTCATTCCTTTGTTCCCACAATCTATTTTAAACTACACTTTGATTCTCTTGAGACTTACAGCATGCGTGTGTGGGTATGAGCAGACAAGCAGACTTACTTTGGAGGGTGAAGACCCAGACAAACTGAAGAGACAGATTCCTGAGGATGATCAAATACAAATCATTTTTGCAGAATCACTCAATATTGCCACATCCCAAACTAATTCTAGACTAATCTTAAGAAAGAAGCAAGCTCCTTAAGAAATCCTACTATGAATGTTTTTTCTTCTTACGGAATAACACAAGAGGTACAATGCAGACTCTCACTTTTGTATTTAATAATTGTACTGTGTGAGTGTTTCACTGAGCTATTTGTACCAATTTTCAATTGATATTCTGAGAGGGGCCTTGAGAATTTCTGTGTATGTGTATGTATATCTGTATTTATGTGTAGTCAGAAAAAAAAAAAAGAGAATAGGAGACTAATGAGGTGAGGGAAAAAGTGATCAATGTAGAAAAGTGAGTGCTCCTAGTGTACCTATTTATGTTATGTAAGGTGGCTGCTGCCTGTAGCCCTTGAGGAATAGCTGATTGCACTACTCAAAAATAAAAGCCCAGCACTGTTAAATTTAGGACTGTGTTTCAGGAAACAGGAAAGCTTTATCTTTTTCTGTACCCATTCCCCTTAGCATCAGAGCCATCTGACATGATAAAAACTATTAAGTAAAAACCACTACTGACCTTTACATTAAATAGCTGTTTTCCTCTTCTAAATAATACCCTTGATTTTAACTAGACTACTTCCTTTTATTTTCTGCCTATTGGCTTAATGTTTTACAGAAAAATACAAAGGTGCATGCTAGTTTCTCTACTTGGAGCTGAAACAAACAGGAGCAACAAAAGATGACTCACGTAAGTGTGAGATAGACTGAATTTCCCACTTGTGTAGCACTGGTAACCTTTGTAAGAGCTGTTTAGAGTTGAGCTTTGGGTCTATAATAGGGCTTTTTTTGCACTAAATATGACTGCACTGCATTGCACTACTGAAATGTATTTACTTGTGCTCGGAGAGAGTGTGTTATGTACGGGAAAGAAAAAGGCAAGTTATGAAAGTAGGAGCATCACTAAAATGCAGAGTTATTTTCATCATGCTTGATCTTAGCAGGGTTGGTGAGAATCTGTGGAATTTCTGTCAACTCTTCATCAGGCCTAGGAACCGCCATGCTGATAGGATCTGTTTTCTTATTGTAAAGAAGCTGAGTTAGTACAGCAAATTAAGAACATTTAAGAAAAAGTTTACCCAGTCTTGTTTCCGACTGAGCTCTCAGTAAGAGTTTTAATAGTGAAGAAGCTGAGTGGTATGATGTAGAAGTCTTTGCCTTGGCCTACTCCACAGAGCCCCTTGCTGGTGCACAATTTGCTGTGGCAGAGGGCAGTAGGATGTGCTCCTTTCAAAAACACATAGCCTTGTCCATATTGGAATTACCCTTTCAGCCTGAGTTGCTTCTCCATCCCTGGGTGAAAACTAGATCAGGCTAACCAAAGAGGAAGGCCATGCATGTGGTGAAGTCCTTTAAGATGACAGATAGGGAACAGTGCAATAAACACTGAAAACCAGTGAAGTGAAAGGTTTATTTTGAAACAAGCTAGGCCAACTTGTACATTGGAGGAAGGATTGGATGATGGATTAGACCATGCTAGCTGCTCCATCATAGACTATCCTTACTAAGCAGAAGACCTTAATAGTGCCTAAAAGTTTAATTTTGAAATTGGTTTTTTCCCTAACTTTTCTTTGTTAAATTTATTTTTATTATCTTTTTTAATCTTAGAAGTAATCAGAGTTTGACAGCTCTTTAGTAACTGTTAATAAAAGAATATTGCATCACAGGATAAGCAATAGATTGTGTGGGAAATAATAACACAAGAGTAAAGATGCTGAAGGACTCTTTCAGAATCCAAAGTGACAGTTTTGAAGGTTCTGGCACAGTAGGAAAGGATCACAACCCATGTAAATGGCTAATGTTGAATTTCTCTGAACACTATCACATGTGGGGCATCAATTTGAAAAACTCTCAGTTGAGGCCTCTTTCCTAAGATTACCACATTGATAACCTTTTTCTCTCTCTTCTTTACTCTCCGTCCAAGTCTACTATTCCAAGTTTAAACATTGTTCAGAAAGTTGTCAGCCTTGTTAGTTAGAAAAACTCCATTTAGAGCCATCCAAACTAGCATAAGAAATTCCTTGAGCCCTCAAAGCATTATCTCTGTTTTAAATAAGAAACTAAATCCAGAGCGTTTAACAGGTACTTAGAAATAAGTATTGGGTCATCACTAAGAGGACATTGACTGCACCAAACCAAAGCTGTAGAAAGAAATGATTGACTTTTTAAAATATATTCACATAAACTGTCCTAGGATACTTCTCATGAGGCTTTGGGAAACTTCTTCCTTGAAATGTGCATATCCACTCCAGTTCTGTCACCAAAGATTTTAATCTTCAGAGCCCAATTTCCTCTCTCCCAGACAAAAGTACTACAACAGGCTCAAGGGATATGCTTTGGTGGTCGAGGGATTACCCTTTGGTTTTCCTTCTGTTCACAATGGTATTTACAGGAGACCTTGTCATCAGAGGATGTACTGAACTATCTTTATGACTTTGGATTTGATCAGAGATTTAAAAAATAGAAAAAAAAATAAGCAACACTACTTGACACTGTAAATTATCTAATAAGAGTCATGACCTGGAGACTGATGGAGAGAAAGAAACTTCCATGGAAGAGAGTGAGCTAAACCATTTAGAACCAAACGAAGGTCACTGGTGAAACATAGGGCAGCATGTACACAGTGCAGATCAGCGTTCTGTGTGGCCAGAGCCAACAACAGTGACTGGTGGGAGAGTCAGACAACTGGCCAATGAATTCAAGTATTGAAAAAGTCACAGTCTGGATTTTGTTATGATTGCTGGAGTGGTTGAAACGCCCATGCCCATGGCAAGGAAAATGCTTGGAGGCTGATCTGTTGTGATAGTGCCTTTCTTGTCGTAGTGAGTACTAGATTAATAATTTATTCAGTTACACTTTTCTGGACCATTGCCTCCAGTCTTCTGAGGAGGTTTGAAGGGATAGTATCCACTTAGGATGAAGGGACAGGATATTGCTCTGGAATGCTGTGATTTGATGATATTTGCACTAGATTCTAAACTCTCCTTTAAACTGGAGCAACTGACTGAGAGAAAAACCAAGGACAGCTCAAAGTTAAAAGAAACCAAAAGCAGTATTTTCTGACAGATACCATTTCTTCTTCTTCTTCTTTTTGTTTTTTTTTTTTTTCCTGGAAGAAAACTTCACACTTGTTGGCCACCGAGTTCAACTCTTACCAGTTCTTTTTCTTTATTTTTTGTTTCCATATGGAACCATCTGTGTGAATTAGTCATCAGTTAGATATAGTTAATGTAAAGAGCCCCTGCCATTGAAACTTTGCACACCTTCTCTGCTTTATTGAAGGCAAGGGCCAGTGGTAGCAGGGGAGGGACCCTCCAGAGCCACGCAGCCTTCCAGGAGGCCAATAAGCATGGATATCATGTCAGGAGCTGAGCTGACATATATGTACTCAGAGGACATTGGGGTCTGTAGTTAATCCTAAAGAATGCTCCACAACAGAAGGAAACCAATGCATTGTAGAAAACAAAGGGAAATGGTGCCCGAAGTCTGCCTGTTTCTCTTTTCTTTCCAACCTCGCCACCATGTCCTCTCTTACAGAATTATATTTCATCTCATATATTATATGTTACTAGAAAAGTCATTTGGTTCCTTGGTTTCTCTCTTTATCAGTGGGCTGGAAATTCCTCTAAATTAAATACGAATACCATTAGCAGCTCCCCCGTGTCCAGCCAGTTTCTCAAATGCTGTCCACCTGGTCTTACTGTCCACCTAATATAACTTGGAGGCTTTGGCTGGCTCAACCACCTGTTCACTTTATTTTGTTTCCATTTCCATTTGAACTTGAAGTGAGGCTATGGAAAGGTGGAAATCATGGGCAAGGTTTGGAGGCTGCAATTCTAGGGCATAGCTTGTCAGGAGTTTATATTATCTAAAATATATCTTTCTACACCCCTTTTCATTTTAATCTGTTCCCCTGATCATAATTTCTTTATATTTGTGGTTATTTTTATAAGAATAGAGTCCATTTGCTATGTCTATTTGAGTACTTTTTTTCTATTGTCCCCACATGGATGCAGTACCAACCTATTAATGAAATATCTTTTTATTATATTATTAATATGTAATTCTACTGTAGACCAAAAATATAAAAACAAATTTGTTCATTTTAAAGATATAAAGAACTAGGGAGTAAAAGATTAAAAATTGAAGGAAAAGACAGAAGAGCAGTGGTTAACTATGTCGAGTTAGAAATCTAAGAGTAGCCTTACCTGTTTTTTAACCAGTGCTTGCCAATCATACCATAGTTGGGATTATGTAATCTTGGCTTCTTCATGCTTATGTTCTATAATTCTTGTTTGTTTGTTTTCTTTGATGTAATTAAGGTTGCACATCATGCTATTTTTGGCAATGCCTGATTCTATTATATTGTACTTTTGTTAGTCATTTCCTTTAGAAAGATGGGGGGAAACGTTTATTTCTTCTTTTAATTTAAAATTTGTTTAATGCACTGGAAATAAAATTGGACACATTTCACTGTTTAAAAAATCAGAAACAAAACAAAGCAAAAACCATGAGGGAAAAAACCAGCAAATAAGCAACAGGGGAAAGAAGCTATGAAAAAAATATATTTGTACTGAAAACACATACAAACTACACCCCAAATGAAAGATTAATATCATCAAGTAAGAAAAATACATAGTTTAAACAACAACGCTGAAAATGTAAAAGGAACCTGGTAGTTCAATGGGGGTAGAGAAAACAGAGCATTCCTCTGAGATCAGAGATCTTGTCATTATTGCAATTAATGCCCAAACAGGTTAAATGTGGAAGAAAGTATGGAGGAAATAACCCCAGCCTTCCTCATACCACTGGATTTCCACATTACCTTTTAACCTATGCTTGAGCTCCATTTTGAGAAAAAATATTTAAAAACAAATTTGCTATGTAACAAATGTGTGTGTGTGTATGTGTGTGTGTATATATATATATGCTTGAGAAAGTGGTTTGTCAAGATATATGTGTACAGTACACACATGGACACACTTCAGTCCTCTGACTTCCCATGTGCTACCTCATGTGTTTCTCTTCTCATGAGGATTTGCAATGGATAGTCGTACAACCTGGGGACTGTCAGTGACTCATTGGTATCAGCATATGCTAAAGAAGCTCTTGAATGCAATCTTGAAACCTGATCTCCCTTCTTCAGCATTCCCCAATACGGAACTGGCCTGTTTACCCATACAAATGCACAGTAAAGGGAAGAACAGCGATATTTTTCCTAGCCAACTGACTCTATCATTTGTTTAATGTTTGCTGGTTTTTTTCTGGTTTTGTTTTGTTTTAGAGCAGGAGTGGGAGTGGATGTAACTTCACAATCCTAATACAGTAAATGTTTTGCATCTTCCATGTTTTATGCAAAAACAGACATTTAAATCAATAAATAATTGTGCCCTAGACTGAAAGTTAATGTTTAGGAGAGGAAAAAAAATTGTTGGAATTTTTTCTACATTTTTTTGTGAAGAATCTTTTTTGGAAAGGAAGGATACATATTTTTGTTGTGTAATATTTTCTATTTTTGAATGCATTTTATTGGTACAAGACTGTTTTTTTGGTGAAGACATTATTTAAAAAAAAAAAAAGAAAAAAACTAATCGAAAAGTTTGCCCTTAAGGATATGCTGCAGTTTTGAGGTTAAAAAAAAATAACTGATTCAAGATGCGTGTTAAAAGTTGGGATTATATTGTTGTTTTTTGTAATTGTTACAAGAAGAAGTTTGTACCCACTGCTGTTTATTTTGTTTCAGATGAGTAAGTAAAGGGATTGTTCTTGTTTTATTCTTTTTTTAGAGAAAAAAAAGCTATTTATGAAATGTCAAAAACACTGGACTGTGAGTTTAAGTGTGGAAGCATTTTACCACCCTGTGTCTTCAACCAATTATGGGAAACCCCTTTTCTCTTCCCCCCACCCCCCGCCTTAGCCTTGCCAAATGAGAAAAATATAACAGCTGTCAGATGGCCGAAGCCACCGAAACCCTGCTTTAATTTTTATGGTTTGAAAAAGTTGGAAAAACCAAAGTTAAATTTGTTTCTGAAATCCTGCTGTGCGTTGCCCTTTTTTTGTATGACACAGCCGGGCTCTGCCTCTTTATCTCAGATCATTGCCTTCTTAGGGTCTGGGGGCCAACCTGATGCAAAGAGAGGCATAAAGGTGGTGAGCCTGAGAGTTGAGGTCTCATGAAGTAAAATGTGAGTGGGACTTCATCCTCTCAGTAGGCAACCACGCTTTCCCATCCCGAGATGAGGCTGCCAAGAGAGCGCACTGCTAACACTGCCTGAGGAGAGCACACCTCCCGTCTCCTTCACCCTCTGCTTCTGAGACCCTCCTATGACTCTTATCATCGTTCTCTAGCATGGCTCTGCCTTTCTCAGCAGCCCACATTCCATGGATGGGAGCGGTGGGGGGGCAGGGACCCAAAGGAGGGAAATGGCTGTGGGTGGTGTGAAGGCCCCCCAGCCCTCAGGAAGGTGGGGCAAGGGACCACTGAGCACAAGGGATCTTGCCCGCCTCCTCTTTGACTCTGTGGATTGTCCATCCATCTGCTCACTGTGAAGATGGAGAGGCAGTGCCCTAAGGCTGTTCAATAGCTTTTCCATATTTTTTCAACATTGAAAAAATAATTTTTTAAAACTGTGATTTAAAAAAAAAAAATCATTTGGCTGGAGGGAAGGGAAAAGGGAAACACCAAAAGCTGTACCATGATGAACTGGAGATATTTAACTGGGGCACTTTCTAGACCAAGACAAACAAATTCCTTTCTGGACTCTAAAGCAGCCGAATATTGAGACTGTCAATGACAGAAAGCTGAAGAGAGGCCTCTATTTCTTCCTTTCTCCTTTCTTCTGTCTAAAAACTCTCTCTTGTTCCGCTTTTCCAGCTTCCCTTGGACTACCGCCCCAATGGCCCCTTGGCCTCCCATTTCATGTGTGCGAGCACACACACGAACTTGCAAAATACCATTTTTCTTAAGGATTGTGGGACCGAATAATATCACGTGCCTTCATCTTTTCCTTTTATAGTTAGATGAACCTCTTCCTCTTTACAATTTTTTTTAAAAAATGATAGGGGAGGTTGATGTGTTAGTGGAAGATTTGGGCATCGTTTGAGAAGTAACTTTTGTTTAGCACATTCTCCCTAAACATTCAACACAAATATTTCAACCCCTTCATGACACTCTTTGGACATTTAAAGCATTGAGTAACCATGTACATGACAGCCTAAATCCATTCGATTTCAGAGCATTTCCTGAACATTCTATTTCATAGACTTCTTTGATCTTATTAAAAATGAGGTGAGCAATGGCAAGCAGCCTTGTTCTCCCAATTTGGTGCTTTTGCTTGTGGTGTGGGGTGGGCGTGGGGGGTTGGGGGGGTGTGGGTGTGTTTAGAAAAAAGGTGCATTCCTAAAGATCTCTGGTGCTGAAGGGCCTCGAGTTCCTTTCAGAGACTGTATTTGACACACTTTAGGTACACAGAAACGAATGGTATCACATGCAATATTTTAATGGAGCAATGGGAGAGGCTCTTTGAAACGGGGTTTGCATCTTTTTGTAACATTTTGATTTCTCTGGTGCCTTATTCCTACTTGATGCTGGCACTCACATACCCACAGGAAGCTGACACAGAAATCAGCCTTAGGCGTGGGGACATATGGGTGATGTTTGAGCATGCAGGGGCCATGGGGAGTTTGATGTCAGTTGGTGGGGAAGGGGCTAGATGGCATCTCTTAGCCAAGGCCAACAGGGACTGCACAAATCCATTATAGTCAAAGTTAGTAATTTTGATACGTAAACACAATACTTCATTCTTCCTCATCTGAGCTTTCCTTCCTTCTTCCTTTTCTATTTCCACCTTCTCATAAAGGTGCTGCTGCTGCTGCTAAGGTGCCCGGAGTCCAGAATGTCCAGTAATCACTCAGGCACAAGCCTGGCACTGCCACGTCAGCCCCCCGCATGACAAAACCCAGGTTTCTCTTGCTTGGGGCTGAGAACTGTCAGATTTCTCTCATCAAAAATGTTTTCCAAGGAATCAGTGGATTACAGTTTTTCTGCATTGAAAATGCACTTTAAAAAATATTAAAGCTCCAGACTGTTTAAAATATACAGAGGGAGCAGGGGAAAGTTAAGCATGTGCTAGTGTCTGAACCCAGTTCAGTTTATCTCCAGTTGAAACAATATACACTATATTATGTATAAATGTATACACACTTCCTATATGTATCCACATATATATAGTGTATATATTATACATGTATAGGTGTGTATATGTGCATATATACACACATGCACATAACAAAATCAGATGCTCATTACAAATCCAGATGCTCATTACAAAACCAGATGCTACACAAACAGCAGCAGAGGAAACAAGGTTGGACTCTTGCAACAGATCACAAAAAATAAAAACAGCTACTTGCAGTGACTTTGGTCATTTCTGTATGTTCATAAAGAATGGATTGTAACAAGGAAAAAAAGGAACAGTGTTAGTGAAAGAGGAAAAATGGGCGAAACCATCTTGATCCAATGCGAATGCAGTAATGTTCTATACCATTTCATCAGTTATTTCTTTTAGTCATGTTGATTTGATTTCAGTTTCTGGCTATTAAAAACACTTTTAAACTCAAGTGGCCCACAACAAACTGAACAAAACTACTACAGTGAAAGCCCTTTTCAGTGAACGATGTCAGAAACCTCAGAACCCTTGGCCTGACTCAGAACTACCATGTGAAAATCAGTACTCTCTTAATGTTTGAAATAAAAACTAAAAAAAAAAAAAAAAAAAAAAAAAACAAAAAAAAAAACTTTTTTGAAGCACCTTAACGTGGCCATCCATTTGAGAAGTGGGTGCCACTTTTTTCTTTGAGCACCTTATTGATGTGTTTGCTATCTGCTGTCTTTCTGTTACCTGTTGGCTGAATGGCTAGCTGTTAACACATACATGTGCACAGAAGAGATATCTGGGCATGTATGTTCTCAATGAAGTTTACTGTGGTGACTGCTGAAAGGTGAACCCATTTCCTGATTTTCCCGCCACAGTGTTGTGATAAGATTCGAAGAAACCTTTTTCCCTGCACAGAAATGTTTCTTATCACATTGTATCTTAGTATGGAAAGGAATATGGTCCCTTTTTTGCAATTGCTACTGTGTACACACACACACACACACACACACACACAGTATATTTAGATCGAAAATACACACACATACATACCCATTCATTCATTCATTCATTCAAGTGGTATTTCCAGTGTCTCTGTGTCACTGTTGATGCAGTTTCCATTTCCCAGTGAATTATGAGTGGAGGGCAACTTTTCTAACCAGATTGTCCTTTCAGAACAAAGGCCTGGAAATAGAGGAAGAGTTTGGAAAGAGGGAGAGGCAAGGAAAGAGAGCTTTAAATTGAAAGATTAATGTCCCAAGAGGAACCTGAGCTGAATGACTACAGTGCTATACCCTCCAATCTCTGCAGGTGGGCATGGAACACTGCTTGTATCACTCTCTGCATGATATAAATCCGTATATCCACAAATACACACATCCATCCGTCAACATATACATGGTTTGGGATGAGCAGGTCAATAGTTTTGAGAAGGAGTTTGTTCCTTTTTTTTTTCTCATTATACTCTTAAATTGTTGTCAGTTATCAAACAAACAAACAGAAAAATTGTTTGGAAAAACCTTGCATACGCCTTTTCTATCAAGTGCTTTAAAATATAGACTAAATACACACATCCTGCCAGTTTTTTCTTACAGTGACAGTATCCTTACCTGCCATTTAATATTAGCCTCGTATTTTTCTCACGTATATTTACCTGTGACTTGTATTTGTTATTTAAACAGGAAAAAAACATTCAAAAAAAGAAAAATTAACTGTAGCGCTTCATTATACTATTATATTATTATTATTATTGTGACATTTTGGAATACTGTGAAGTTTTATCTCTTGCATATACTTTATACGGAAGTATTACGCCTTAAAAATACGAAAATAAATTTTACAAGGTTTCTGTTTTGTGTGGAAGAGTAATTGATGTTGCTAAGAATGATGTTTGTTTTTTGGGGTTTTTGTTGTTTTTTTTTTAAATGTTACCAGCACTTTTTTTGTAAGTTTCACTTTCCGAGGTATTGTACAAGTTCACACTGTTTGTGAAGTTTGAATATGAAGGAATAATTAAAAAAAAAAAAAACTCTTCTCTTGGTTTCCTATTGTGTCTTCTTTATATTGTAGTTTCGGTTTTAGGCAGTTCTCCACGTTCTTTCGCACATTGTATTCTATGTCTAATCTGAGATTATTTATCCAAACTGAGGACTCTACCTACAAGGCCAGAAATATTCTGAGTATATGAGTCCTCTCAATACAAGAAGGAGGAACGACAGACAGGATTGGTGATGTTGAAGTCACTTTGAGGAAATATAAAGCAAATTGGTGTATTATCCTATACATGGTCAAACCTCAAAAATGACAAGGCTTACTTACAGCTCTACAAATTGATTCACATTTTTTCCTTTTCCACATGCAAATCACTGCCTGCCTGCTGTGGAAATAATCCCATGTTATAACACTATGCCCACCTATTCTTGTTTCTGCCCACTCTGTTATCCGTGAATCAATCACGGAGTCTCCTTTTTAACTCTTGGGTTTCTTAGCTCTATGTGCAAAAAAGGAAAGTTCATGGCACAAAACATGCCCCTCTTTAATGACTTTGGAGACTCATAAAGGACTCCTATTTGACCCATAGATTATTTCTTATAGTGACCCTGGCCATAAGAGCTCTCTGATCTCATCATTCTTACAGAAATTGCTAATATGGTGAAGAAAACTTATATCTTGTTTGTCCTTGGTGAAGTCAACACCAATTAAATTCACAATGTCTTCTGTATTTCATTCAGCACTGTGCAATGTATGAATAAAAAACAGGAAATTATTTCAGCCATGAGAAGGCTTAAAATCTAACAACTAAACATGAAGAGAGGTTTGTATAAAATCAAGAGCTAGATTGTGCCATTCAGACTCTCAATGCCAAGGGAGTTTCTAAACTAACAGGAAGTTGATAATGGCTAGCGTGAGTCAAGAAAGGGTCCAAAGAATAAGCAGTCTAGTTCGGGGACTCACAGGAACACTAAGCTTTGAGTTGGAGAAGCTGAGTGTGGATAGACATTTCCACCAGTGTGAGGAGCACAAAAATATCCAGGTCTGAGCTTTGGATGGGGAGAGTCTTCAAGAGACCTCTAGACTGAAAGGATGTCAATAAATTCCTGAGATTTCAATATTACCTCTCTGAATTTAAATATTTCTTGCAACTCAATCACTGAACTTCTAAGTCAACCTGATTGATATTCTAGAAGTATAAAGAGGAAGAAAATATTTTCATGATACACAATTTGTCCCTATAAGATTTCTGTGAACCAACATCTTAACAATGCCAGCCAGCTTCACCCAAAGTCTTGGATCTCTCTTTGCACCATCCATACACTCTTGAGTTTTCTTCTGTACCTGTTAAAAACATGGTGGTGCAATTTATATACAGGCTGTAATAATTGTAAATGACACACATGCTTCTCATATGGTAGTTCACAGTTTACGAAGTTTCTCCTTAATATCCTTCATCTTCACAGTTACACTGTGAATACTATGATGTAGCTATGATTGCACTAATTTATAAAAACAGAGGTTCAGAAATATGTGTTTTTCCAATAAAAAACAATAAACTAGTGCCTGAGGTCAGGTTTTCTGAAATCCAATAATATTTATACCATACCAGTATTTTCAAACTTGAGTAATGTATATGCCGATATGAAGGAAAAAAATACTTTCACAGACCTCTTCAATGGGAGAGAGTCTGTGAGTATTCTTCATATCTAGTAATAAATTTAAAATATGCAAAATTATTTTATTACAGACATTCTTAAATAGGCTCAAACACAATGACAGGTGAACTCACTATGCTTATACCCCTTGTAGAATTATAAAACTAAAAGTTACTAATTTTTAGTTACAAGTAAAACTATAGAATTAATAATGTCTACAATAACAATGAGTACATAGGATGATGCTTTGCTGAATCTAAGTCGTGGCTCACAGAGTTAAGTGTACTGCACACATCCTTCTGAATACAACATGCCTACACTACAGTGTGCAAAGTAAATTATCACTTCACTTTCCTATTAGTTCAACTACTGCAAAGTCTTCCACTGCTCCGCTCATCTGGGAGTAAATGAATCATTTATAAATTAAGCTTCTGTGCCTTTAAATAAACTTGATTATAAACACAAACATAGAAGCTAAAACCAATGACAACACTCTGTTATAAGAAGGCTATCAATATCCAGATATATTTGACTTCTTTAAAGATTATCATTTCACTTAAAACACACAATGTTTAAATGCTTACAGAGAACTTGTGGACCCCAAGGCTGTATCTGCTACTCTCAGCTTTCCTCGTATCTCAGTTTTTAAGAACATTGATAGATAATTTCAGATACCTCGGTTGCTCCCAGCCAGTTTTGTTGCCTCCATGAAAACTTCTGTGGCATCATTAGCACTGCCTGGTGCACATGCTCCTGGGGCAGAACACAATAATATTAACCCAGCATCTTGCAGCTCACAAAGCAGTCAGCCACATTCCTGCCTCATCTTCTTAAGAATCTTAGAAAGATAGTATGTTACCATTTTACAAATGAGGAAATATTTGTGAGTCTTTGCTAGGATAAGTGGCTTATCCAAAGTCATGAAACTAATTGCAGAGCTCAGCACTTGGACCAAGTTTCTCAATTCCCAGCCCACTACACTCCATAATTACTTTTTTTAAAAAAATCTCTGTGAAGTCCATCAGAGTTTTAGTCCCAGAGAAGGTGCTCTTCACAGCCTACACAAAGTCAGAATGAATATAGTCCAAGGTAAGTCCTGTGATGAAAGTCTATTTCTACATAATCCCTATGAGTCGTAAACTTCTTGACAGTTTTGGCCCTATTTAAGTGAACTGGGCCACTTAGGGCCACTTAGCTACCTCCGAGTTTTATTTTGTTTTTTTTTTGAGACGGAGTCTCTGTCACCCAGACTGCAGTGCAGTGCAGTGCAGTGGTGCAATCTCGGCTCACTGCAAGCTCTGCCTCCCGGATTCACGCCATTCTCCTGCCTCAGCCTCCCGAGTAGCTGGGACTACAGGTGCCCGCCACCACGCCCGGCTAATTTTTTGTGTTCTTAGTAGAGACGGGTTTCACTGTGTTAGCCGGGATGGTCTCGATCTCCTGACCTCGTGATCTGCCCACCTCGGCCTCCCAAAGTGCTGGGATTACAGGCGTGAGCCACTGAGCCCGGCCACCTCCGATATTTTTAATGGAAAAAAACCTGAAATAAATAAATGTATAGCCTGCTTTGACCTCATGGTTTGTCTTGATCAGAGGATGGATACAGGAGAACAGAGGAGAACCTTCAAGTTTTTTCCTGGTGGTAGCCATTTCAAATGCATAACAACTGGAGAGCCATCCAATGGCCTATAAACACAGCTCTCTGTGTTTTCTCTATATGCAAGGCAGTTACTAGAATTGTGATGTCCAATATACTAGCTACCAGTCACATGTTGCTATTTACATTTAAATTTGTTAATTAAAATACAATTTAAAATTCAGTTTCTTTGTCACATTAGCCAAATTTCAAGTGCTCAACAGCCGCATGCAGCTAGTGGCTACCACACTGGATGGGACAGACAGAGAGCATTTCCATAATTGCGGAAAGTTCTATTGGATAGCATTGTCCTACGCTACCTTATGCAAATAAATTATCTCAAACATTGAGTATACCGTTGTGACTTCCAGAAAGCTCAGGTTCTTTTCACACAAAAAGCCCCCCTGTACCTCTTGACAGGTGTGACTTGGAGTAGGTGTGGGAAACTACCACTTACAGCCATGAAGCAGCACCTGAAAGAAGAGACTAAACAAAACTCACACCCCACAGATAACAGCCACAACCACACTGCCCATTGCCCCCTCTCTGTGGGGTATGGTGTGCCCACCAGAATGCTGTCATTGGCGGACAGCACACCCAGCCTTCCTGCCTGTCCAGCTCAGCACTGATGGAATCTGAATGAACCTGAGTGTATGACGACTCACTTCCAGGGCTCACAGGGGTGAAAAGGGAAAAGGCATGACAAAAACTGCATAGTGAAGTCCTGTTCACTCATGAAGACCATCTGTCTCAAAGCTCCATGACTCAAAGTTTCTCACATTTTTTTAGTATAATTCTCAGGATTATGGATCAGACTTGTATGCCCAGGCTCAGAATGTGGTCAGGGAATCAGTAATGTATTCCTCCTTGAATGCTCATTCATAGATTTGTCTATTCGCTCCTCCTGTTAGGGAATCCACGAGGGGACCCGGAAAAGCCTGGCATCGCTTCCTGTCAGCACTGAGTGTTCCCCTTCCTCAATCTTCTCTGTGATGCTTCCCTACATATTTCCCAAAAGACATCATAAGCAGGAAAATCTTCCTCAAACACTATTTTGAATGAAAGAAAAAGAAATGGAAACCAATAGACATAGATAGACACCCTCCCTGGGTATCAGCTTGGCTTGGGTTTAGCTACTAGAGTGGCACAGTCCCATAGAAATGTGAGAGCCACATATGCAATTTTAGACTTTCCAGTAGCCACGTTAAAAAGATAAAACGAAACATGAAATTAATGTTAATATTTTATTTCACCTGATACATTCAAATATCACTTTTGACACACAATATACCAAAATTACTGAAATGGTATTCTTATTATTCATATTAAATCTACAAAATCTAGTGTGATTTTATACTTATACCAATTACAATAGCACATCTTGATTTAAACTAACCCCATCTTAAGTGGTTGATGGCCACACGTGGAAAGTGGCTACGTGTGGACAGCGCATGTCTCCAGGAATCCAGCTATGAGATGGTCTTCTCTGGTCCTCAGAGGAGAATCTAGTTCAGTGAGTTCTATTTAAAAAAAATTTTTTTCAAATTGAATCCCATTTTAGTAACCTGACCCATTTCTAACATCTATAGTCCCTTTTGTATTTTATCACCATCCTAATAGTATTTATAAATGTTTCCCAATTACCATAATTATGTTAAATAACACCTAACTCTCAGTCCAACCTCTGACGAATATACACCTCCTCCAAATCAAAATACTACTCCCTTTTCGTGATTACATTTTAGTTCACTTCCAATTTGTGAATTGTGTTCTATTTCCAACAGATTTGCACTAATTTTGCAAGAAAAATGCTGTAAACTGCCACAGCAAACAAACAACATTTTTACATTCATCTATCTTTCTTCCAAAGGACTTGGAGCTCTGGACAGATTTCAGTTCATTCTTCCTAACGACGTAACCCATTTGGTAGAAAAGTGAAAAAATAATAATTAAAAAAATCCAAGGAGAAATAGGAGTTGAATTGTCTTGTTGCTAAGACAATTGTCAACCCCAGTCTAAGTCTTAGGAAGCAGGGCAATGCTTTATTTTTAACCATGGGCAAAACACAGCCTTGCTTCACATTCTCTTTCAGTTCCTGGGCTCATGAAAGAAAATCAGTCACCAGTAAATCCAATCTCCTTGCTCATTCCTCTGAGAGAGATGGTGGAAGGATAAAAGTCTTCTAAGATCCAGCCTGAATGCAGTTAAACAGAAATAAGCAGTTCAGTTACCCCAACCCCAGCACAAAGACATCAGGGTGTGAATAAAAGGGTTCGAATAAGTTAGTTTGAGGGTATTTATTTTTTAAACCCTCTATCACCCCAGCCCCCGTTTCTCCTCTAGGAAGAGTCTCTATTTTAAAAATCCACATTTTCTTTTTAGTGGGAAACATTCCTTTTTCAAAGGCTCAAGGGTGTATTGATGCAGAAAAGGTAGATCAAGGCCCAAATGCTAAGACTTGGTTCCCTGTGTGGGGATGTGCGTTTCCTGGGGCTTCCCCAGCACGCATGGCCGGAAGAGCCTAGCGTGCTCTGTATCAGGCCGTCTAATGCATGAGTACATCACAGCGAAAGGAAACTTGAAATGCCTGCCCAGAGAATAAAATCTGAAGTTTGCTGACTCCCTTGGTGCCAGGGCCTTCTTTGTGGGACTTTCAGCTCCAAGAAGTTCCTACAAGTTCCCTAGACAAAACTCCTGCTCCTCCCAGACCAGCCTCCACATCCCCTTGGTGCTCCCAGGCCACTTCAGCACAGAAAAGCCTATGCCAACTACCTCACCCCAAACTGTCATCTCTTCCTGAAGGCCTGTGTATGTCTCCTTCTCTCCTTACTGTAATACCTTTTCATGACAATGTTGTCTCCCCATTTAACTGTGGGTTCTTGAGGGCAGATACCAAGATTTAGTCACTCTCAAATCTCCCCATAGAGGCTGATAACAGGACTTATTTATGACATGCCTTTGAATGAGCGAATGTTACTGAAAATGACAGTGAAAAAAATGAGATGAGGATGGCTCTGCAGTCATGCCATCCTCATCATCAACCACAAAACCTTGTAGCCCAAAATGCTGGCCAATGCCATTAAGACGAATGTGTCTCTCAGAGACATAGGATCTGCTCAAACTGCCAGATTTAAAATCAGGTCAAGATATTTTTTCAATTTTGCATTTATGATCAAGATCCATGTTACTCACCCTAGGCCTGCCATAATGCATAATGGAATAGAACAAAAAGGCCAAGGAAATGAAGATAGAGAAGAGGATGACATTTATTCACTCAACTGAACACACACGCGCGCGCACACTGATGGTGAATACAGCTGTTTATATATTAGTCAAGACATCTATAATAGTCAAGACAAAAGTGTATCTTCCAGAACATGCCTCTGTTTGCTAACCAGTCTCTGTGAAGAAGCTGCAGCTCCCCAGGCTTCTGTAACTCAGGACATTGAAGTAGTCATGCAGCTCGGCACAGTCATCTCCCTGCTGCTCTCCACAGAGCCCAGCAGGTGCAGCTTCTGCCTGGACACAGCTTCCTGGGGGTGAGGGAGCACTGGGAATCTGTTCTTCCTGTCCAGTTGATTTTCTCCGGAGGCCACTTTCCACAGAATGGATTCTGAGGGATTTCTTCTAAAAGCAAACAAACTACAAAGTGAGTATGTGGCGATGTTATTCAAAAGTTACTCCCCAGTATGACATATATTGAGAGTTAATGTGATCTCTCTCATCCTTTCTTACACACATGCACACTGGCAAACTTGTGTTCTTACCAACGCCAGTTCCTTAACCCTTAATTTCTCAACCGTATTACAGCTAGATTTCAATGCTAACCAGTCCACGGAAACTGCACTTACTACATATACCACGTGCCACACACCTTGCTACTTCCTGTTCACTAAGCTTAGTGGAGCAGCTTTCCGTTCTCTATTTTCTTTTGCTCTTTACTGCACTTGACTCTGTTGACCTCTTCCTTTCTGAAATGCTTTCTTTCTCTGGCTCCTATGGCATCACTCTCTCCTGATTCTCTTCTCCTCCTTTAAACCCCCACCTTCGTCTTCAGCCAGGCCTGCCCCTTTTCTCTTTGCACATCAGCTCCCCAAACCATGGGGTTCCCCTAGGGTTCTGCTCTCTGCTTTCTCTCACACTAAACATGCTCTCTGAGTTACTTCATGAGTATCTACTTTCTTATATCTACAACCACCATCTGTCCTCTGAAGATGCCCAAATCTCTATCTAAACTGGCCCAGGCTTCTGCCCTGAGCTCCAGACCCAGGTGTCCACCTGTTCACTGGGCATCATCACCTGATGACCCACAGCAAGCTCAGACTCAACTTGTCTCAAAAGAAACCATCACATTCCTGCCCCAACAAACCACTCCTGCTCCTATATTCACTGCCCTGGTTTATGGCACCAGCTGATCAGAAATATGGAGGCTAATGTTCAACTCGATTTATCTATAAAACCTTATCCAATTTTAATCCCAGGCAGTTCTGAAATCTACTCCCTCTTTTTCATCTCTATATCCATGTCTTCTCTCTCACCTGGGCTTCATCCTCACTGTCTCTGGACTCCCTCTTACTTCTAGTCCAACTCCGCATGGTTACTAGCGGAGTGATTCTCAAAACCAACAATTGGGTTAGTCCATATTTCTGCCTAAAACTCTTCAATCGCTCCCACTGTGTATAGGAGGGTGCTTAACCTGAGATGCACAGCTGGATTTCAGGAGATTTGTAAATTGGATAGAAAATTTTGCCTAAAGGGACATTCTTCCGAGAAGAAAATCCATAATTCCACTACACACCCCACAAGAAACTGTGACGATCTCCAAAACATCCCTTGTGATGATCCCAAAAACATCCCTTCTGATGATCCCCAAAACATCCCTTCTGATGGTCCCACTCACTTTCCAGCTTACATGCTAGGTAAGATGCTAAGTGCCTTACATTATTATTTGACTGAAGTTTTCTCATGACCTTATGAAGGTAATGCCATAATTATCAGCATTTTACAGATGAGAAAACTGAGCTTCATCAAAGTTAGGTAGTATAGCTGTTGAGTCAGGACTCAAACCTAGGACTGCCTGATTCCAAAGACCATGCTCCTAAATAACACAGTCTACGGGCTCTCAAGGTCGCAGCAAATGCTGTTGTGCCTGTCATAGGTAATTTGAGGTATCAGCTTAACCAGATTAAGGGACCTGAGAGAGCTGGCAAAGCCCATTTGGGATGTGTCTGTGAGGGTGTTTCCAAAGGAGATTGGCATGCCAGTCTGAGTGAAGTGCGTGGGTAAGAGCCACCCTAAATGTAGCCAGGCACTATCCAGTCACCTGGGGGCCTGCCTCTCCCAAAACAGAAGAGAGGCAAAAGTGGTCTTTCTCTCTTTGGAGTTGGGACACACTCTTCTCCTCCTGTCCTTGGACATCAGGACCCCAGGCCGCCTGGCTTTCGGACTCCAGGACTTAAAACAGTGCCCCCGACCCTGTGTTTTCAGGTCTTTAGCCGTGGACTGAGAATTACACCAATAGCCTTGGTGGTTCTGAGGCTGTTGGAGTTGAACTGAGCCATGCTACCAGCATCCCAAGGTCTTCAGCTTGCAGACAGCCTGTGGTGAGACTTCTCAGCCTTTACAATCACACGAACAAATTCTCCTAATAAATCCCTCCTCATCTATCTATCTATCTATCTATCTATCTATCTATCTAATCTATCCATCCATCCATCCATCTCTCCTATTGGTTCTGCCCCTCTGGAGATCCATAACTAATGTACAGTTCCTGCTCAGATCTCTTTACCTGACCAGCACTCCCATTTTCCAGATGCTTGGACTATAGGCTGTGAGCTCACAGCAGCTCCTTCTCTACAGAATTGTTCTTGGGCCCTCCCTGGTGAGCAGCCAGAGGTAATGACTGACCTAGGTGGATTTTGAAAAGGTCAGCTCTCTGCCTAAAGGTTCAACCAACTCTGTGTACAATTCTTGCTTCAGCCAAGTCTCCAGCTGAGACCATATCTATGCTGAGCTTTCTTCCCTTAGCCCTCCCTATACTACTTCCTTCACTTCCTTTCATCTCAGAGCTGTCCCAATAAGTCACTCTCACCAGAATTTGCATGTCAGGCTCTATTTCCAGGGACCTGATCTAAAACAGTTGCTGCTGGGAACAGTCCTAGGAGGCAGCCTGTAAGAACAGGATTGCGGAATGGGATCACTCGCCTGCTAGATGGCAACACAAACCCCATGACTGGTGATGAAATGAGAGGGACACAGATGGATGGGAACTATGAGCTGGTACAATGACTCTAATATTTGAGATGCATAGGGTAAATAGTTACTGTTAGAACTCTGGAATTGGGTAAACAGTATAGGGTAAATAGTTACTATTAGGACTCAAAATTGACTTTTGCTAAATTGCACTGATGGACTAAAGTGAGAAAATGACAGTCTCAGACCTATCAGCAACTCAAAGTGTGAGAGTGAAAGCTCCTCCTTGGCAGCATTTAAGAGACACTCATCTCTCCACAGCTGAAGACCAGGTATGGTACGTAAGCTAATTGTAAGAAGGACAGGACTTTAAAGACGGCTAGATTCTAAGCCGAGGTAAATTTTCTGTGCCAAAGCTAGCATCTTGATAGTAGAGGAGAAGTCTCCTGAAACTTGGAATGAGGATCTCTGGAAAGATGCATTTGAGAGCCATGAACCACCTGCTTCTCTTATACCATCTGGGCTGCAAAAGTGGCCCACTTCCCCTTGATGGAAGAAAATCCCTGCTGGGCCCTGCCTCTGCCTCCCCTACTGGCCATCAGACCTGTAATTAGGGTAAAATCTCAGCCCACGCTAATGGAGGAAGTGCTGGGTCTGCTGAGAGAAGAGAAAGGTTATATACTAAAGGACCTGGCTAACATATGCTGGCAGGGACTGGGAGAAGATGCCTAGGCATGAATTCTGAAGGTGATGGATTGTGGTGTAAGATAGAACATAAGACTGGATGAGGGATAATGTATCAATATTGGAACACTCAATATTTAACACCCTCACAAGGGCCCAGGAGATGATTCTGACATACTGCTGTCAATAGAGATGACAACACTGCTTTGGCAAACTATGGAAAAGGGAAACAAAAGGCTCAGAGAAGCAAGAATGCTAGAATAAACCTAATAAATCAGAAATTGGCAAACTCAGTTTTGTGGGTCAAATATGGCCCACTGATGGTTTTTGTACAGCCCTTGAACAAAGATGGCTTTTATATTTTAAGTGTTTTTTTAAAGCAAAAAAAGTTTTTAAAAGTAATATCTTCTGCACAGCAAAAGAAATAATCAGCAGAGTAAACAGACAGCCCACAGAGTGGGAGAAAATATTTGTAAACTATATATCCAACAAAGGACTGATATCCAGAATCTACAAGGAACTCAAACAAATCAACTAAAAAAAAATCCCATCAAAAAGTGAGCTAAGGACATAAACAGACATTTCTCAGAAAAGGATATATAAATGGCCAATAAACATATGCAAAAATATTCAACATCACTAATTATCAGGGAAACGCAAATCAAAACGCAATACCACCTTACTCTTGTAAGAATGGCCTTAATCAAAAAATAAAAAAATAACAGATGTTGGCATGGATGTGGTGAAAGGGGAACACTTTTACACTGCTTGCGGGAATGTAAACTAGTACAACGACTATGGAAAACAGTGTGGAGATTCTTTAAAGAACTAGAAGTAGAACTACCATTGAATCCAGTAATGCCACTACTGGGTATCTACCCAGAGGAAAAGAAGTCATTATACAAAAAGCAGCACAATTTGCAATTGCGAAAATATGGAACCAGCCCAAATGCTCATCAATCAATCAGTGGATAAACTGTAGTGTGTGCGTGTGTGTGTGTATGAATATATATGTATATATATTCATATATACACACATACACACATACACACACACACACACACACACACACCCCCCATGGAATACTACTCAGCCATAAAAGGAACAAAATAATGGCATTTGCAGAAGCCTGGATGGAATTGGAAACCACTGCTATAAGTGAAGTAACTCAGAAATGAAAAACCAAACATCATATGTTCTCACTCATAAGTGAGAGCTAAACTATGAGGACGCAAAGGCATAAGAATGATACAATGGCCGGGCACGGTGGCTCAAGCCTGTAATCCCAGCACTTTGGGAGGCTGAGGCAGGTGGATCACGAGGTCAGGAGATCGAGACCATCCTGGCTAACCCGGTGAAACCCCATCTCTACTAAAAAATACAAAAAAACTAGCTGGGCGAGGTGGCGGGCGCCTGTAGTCCCAGCTGCTCGGGAGGCTGAGGCAGGAGAATGGCGTGAACCTGGGAGGCGGAGCTTGCAGTGAACTGAGATCCAGCCACTGCACTCCAGCCTGGGCAACAGAGCGAGACTCCGTCTCAAAAAAAAAAAAAAAAGAATGATACAATGGACTAATGGACTTCGGGGACTCAGGGGAAAGAGTGGGAGAGGGGTGAGGGATAAAGGACTACACACTGGGTACAGTGTACACTGTTCGGGTGATGGGTGCACCAAAATCTCAGAAATCACCACTAAAGGACTTATTCCCCAAAAAACCTATTGAAATAAAAAAATTAAAAAATAAAAATTCATAGAATGACAAACTGATTTTATTACACATAAAATTATATGAAATTAACATTTTAGTGTTTATAAATAAAGGTTTGTTGAAACAAAGCCATATTCATTCATTTATATATAATCTATCGCACTTTCACACTACAATGGCAGAGTTGAATTGTTGCAACAGAGACCATATGACCTACAGACCCAAAAAGATATACTATCTGTCCCTTTACAGAGACACTTTGCCAATCCCTGTGCTGAATAATTTCCAAAATCCAGTAGCTGATTATGTTGGCTCTTCTAGGGAAGATCCAGAAAACATCCCTTAAGATAATAACAACAATAAGGGGGAAAAGGAAAAGGAAAAAGAAAAAGAATGTCCCTTTTACTAAGCTGTAAAAGCATGTGCTAGGGGAGCTCCAGCATCATTGAGAAGTTTGGTGGTATCACTCCTTTATAGGCTAGGGCTAAAGTAGGAGATGCTTTTACAGAACTGGATCCCTAGTAGCAATGAGGATGAGGAGATCCCAAAATAGTACAGGACAGATAGCAGCACTTAAGAAACAAAATGGATGTAATTACTGCAATGGGAGCCAAGAAAGCCTGATCTGTGGGGATATTAAAATGGTTAATAGAGCACGGTGTGCCCAGGAGATATACAGCTGGGCAGCCAAGAAGGGTATTGCTTACATACATAATCAAAAGAGATCAAGACTACAAGAGAGAAGGCTGAAGCCAGCCAATCCCATGGAAAGTCAAGATCCTTTGTCCAGCTTTCACGTCTATGAGCACTGCTGGCATGGATACCATCCATTTGCCTCTTGGCTCTACTCTCTAACCTTCTCCACCCTATTCTGTGCCCTATGAAGACTCTACTAAATGTACTATATCAATGAGTCCCCTTGTCCTCCAACCTAAGTTTGAGGTCAGCCAATGCAGAGCAACAGTAGGGGAATGGAGAGAGGAACGAGATGAGGGTATGTTGTTCCCTTTGTTCTCTCAGAAAGGTGACCTTGGACTGGTTGTGACCCTCCAGCAAAGACTACGGCACTTCTGAAGGAGACCCCTCCACATAACTCTCTTCTTCCAGGCTCCAATAATTAGCCCCTCCTACTTCGTCCCCTTTGAAGAACTAGGAATGGTCACAACACCTTGCTACTCCTCCTTGTGGTGTCCTTACATCCTAGTAGACTTCTGGAAATTCTATTATTAAACTGTCTTCAAACAACCCAATTTGAGAGTACTACATGTTCCCTGCTGGAACCCTGAATAATGCAAGTATAAAATGCTTTGAGCAAGGAGAGACAGAGAGAAGACTGGCAACTATAGCCAAAGTACAGGAAAGATGCAGACAGGACCTGTACTACACAGTAAGCAGTGGAAATGTTAGAGAGGGCTGGGAAATCAAACACTGTAGAAGGGGGGCAACAGGACTTAATAGATCTCTTCACCTTTTTCTCTTTCTCCACCCTCCAGATGACCAAAGTTAGTCCAGGTGCCCAGAATGAAAATTAACCAGTCTTGAATCTTCAACAGAAAAAGTTGTTCAGCTCCTTCTAAAGGGCCTTTGATTCTTTTATTCCAGACTATCAGGACAGTGCTAACAGCAGAGAACCTGTTCACCAACCACCATAGCAGCTCCATTCCCAGCTAAGAGATCAACTTTCATCTTCTTCACCTCCTCCCTCCATTTAATCATTTCTCTTGTCCTCACCTTCCCCTAGAGGGTTCATTTCCTCATTATGTCTACTGTGATAGCCTACACATAAATGAAAATATTATAGATCATTGACCTTCCCAATAGCACCAGCCATATATCTCAGCCACTGCAGTTCAACCAGGCTGCAGAATTGAGTTGTTAATTGAATGGAATTAGAGTTGGAGGAAAAGTGGGTTAGGATCTCAGGAGGTGGGTCTAGGGTAAAGGTAGAAATTACATACTTGTGTTTCCCAAAATATTTATGTGGTGACTTGAATTAAGGTGACCTGGGCTGAGCTGACTTAAATGACCCAAGAGATCAGACAAAACAAGGAGTGGAAATTCTTTCACTCCTCCCAATCAATACCGGCAGCTGATGACACAAATTTCACTGATATAATTCTTCATTTTTTATAAAGATTTTACATGAAATATGCCACTTATTGATCACAACTCTATGATATAGAGCAAGCCAAATTATAATACGGCTATGGTTTCAATGTGTCCCCCAAAAGTCCATGTGTTGGAAACTTAATTACCATTGTAATAGTATTAAGTGGTAATGCTTTTAAGAGGTGATTAGGCCATGAAGGATCTGCCCTCATGAAGGGATTAACGCCATTATCTCAGGAGTGGGTTAGGTATCATGGGAGTAAGTTCCTAATTAAAAGGATGAGCTTGGCCTCATTTCTCTCTCTCTCTCATATGCACTCATTCATTACATGATGCCTTCTGCCATGGGATGAACCCTGCCAAATGCACCATGCTCCTGGACTTCCCAGCCTCCAGAACCATGAGCCAAATAAACTTTTTTCTTTATAAATTTCCCAATATATTGTATTCTGTTACAGCAGCAGAAAATAGACTAAGACAAATCCCCATTTTATATATAAGGAAATGAAGACCTTGGAAGATTAAGTAACTTTCTAAAAGCATACACTCAGTGCCAAAACTAGAAACTAGATCTTTCAATTCCCCATTCATTACTCTCAGCCACATACACTCTTAAGCTACACAGAGGATTTACAACCTGCTGATCTTGCCATGCCCACTTTACCACCAATTTTTTTTTTTTTTTTAGAGATGGAGTCTTGCTCTGTTGCCCACGCTGGAGTGCAGTCGTAGCTTACTGCAGCCTTAAACTCCTGAAGTTAAGTGATCCTCCCGCCACAGTCTCCAAGGGGGTGGAATTACAGGTGTGAGCCACAGCTCCTGGCCTAGCCCTACATTTTTGGAGTGTTTATTTCTCATTCTACAGACATGCTGGGTAGCCTAGTACTACCAGAGAGTTGTAAACATCAAAAGAGCGAATGTGCAGAAAACTCTAGCACATATAGATGCCCAGAATGCATCAAAATCATAGTAGATAAATTAAACTCTCAGAGCAGTGGCTGAAGGGATAAGCAGAAACCAGGAGTTACAGATGACAGCAAGATGGGTAGGAAACAGGTCCAGCTGTCCAGGAGGTCCCTCCCTACAAGAGGGACAAGGGAAGAGCATAAATAACTGCACTAATAGGCAGAACAAGTGCTAGGGAAAAAAAGGCACAAAGAGCACTGGGGAAGATCACATCTGGGTCTCTCTCTGGGTGGAAAGACAACCTGAAGGACCAGGGTGGCAGCTGTAGGGGTGCCCATGACTGAGATGTGCAGCCAGAGCCATTACCTTTCTAGCCAACACGACCACCACGATGACTGCTATGCAGATGACCACCAGCATCATGGCCATGGCTCCAAGCAATGGAATCTGGAATCTGGCACTGTGCTCAGCCACTAGAGGGAGGACAAAACAGAGATGAGCGGCAGAAGCTGGAAGTGAAGCTGATTTCCCCAGGGCAGCCTGAGCTTCACGGCAGAGAGGTAAGTTTTGATCAGGCCCTTTGTGTAACCATGGGACTAGAGCCTTTAAGCCCAACAGCAGAGTATCCATCTGGCCCATCATGAAATCAATGACTGATCTTTTGAGCAGTGGTGTACCTTGTATATTTGACACCAGAGCAGGTCATTTTAACACTCCTTTCCTCTATTTGACAAAATCATTTTTGGTAATCATGAAATGAAACAAATAGTAGTTCCAGAAAAAAACTCAGAAAGTGAATATTTTCTTTTATTGAACTTCAAATATGAAACCCCATCAATAAAAATATTTAATTCAAAATTAAAGTTAACATTAAATTACAAAAATGAAAAAAAGCATGTAACCTTTTCCCTTAAGCCTATAACACTTATTTCCAGCTACACTTATTTACAGCTAGGCTTGAAATCCTGGATGACATGAGGCTCTGGAGTCTTATCCTTTGCTGTTTTCTGAGCATCTGACACATAGTGAACACTCAGTAAATATTTGTGGCATAAGTGAAATCAAGAACTAGTGAATTTCACTGAGAGATAACATGTAAGTGGAAGCAAGAAGATGCAGGAGGGGAGTTTTGAAGAGATGAATAAGATCTGATTCCAGAAGAGCGTGAGAAAAAGAACACCATCACCCCCATGCACGCCGTGCTGAAGGTGGGTTTCCAGGCTGCCCCAGGAGCTCAGGCAGCACTCAGGTATCCAGGGGAGTCTTCAAAGGAGTAGGGTGCGGCAGAAGCCTGACATCTCGTCCCTCTAACTAAGGGTTTGGGTTGCTAAAAGGTGGCTTAGGAATCCAAGCCATAATAAGAGAAGCGTGGTGCCTGCAGAATTCAAATTCCCCAGAACATGTTCCTCCTGCCTTGAGGGACTCAGTCACAGTGGGCCAGGACAGCTCCTAGTTAGCCACAGCCATACAGTTAGCGCTGGAGGAAAGAGGGCAGATGGAAAGCAAAGGGGTAGTAGGAAATTTAACCCGACATTAGCATCGCATAAGGTCTTATATTCATCCTCCTTTCACAGATGAGAAAACTGATACACAGAGAAGCTAAGAAATCCTGTCTGAGGGCAACAGCAGAGCCAGGATTTGCATCCAGACTGTCTGGGGTCAGAGTCTGAGCTTTTAACCACGGTGCTATACTGTCTCTCAGATAAGAATCCTTTTCTAACCTCTGGGAATTGGTTTAAATGTGCAGGTGGATAATGAATATGAGGGCATTTTGGAAACTTGGAAGTACCACACAAATGTAAATTATTGTACAATTAAACTTAGTACAGGCTGTGCTTTGTTTTTAACCAGCTCTAATCTTTATATACTTAGGAGTTAATTCTAATTTGCACAGTTGATACTAAATTAGTAAACGAGAACTTTTGCATATGACCTCATCAACTGGTCTTCCTAGGAAATATAGGTAAGATGTGCTTCTTATGTAAGAACAGTGGTTCTCAGTATTGGCTGTCTGTTAGAATCACCTGGAAATGCTTTTAGAGCCTACCCCTGTTTAGCTCTGCTATTAGGGATTCTGATTGAATTGGTCTGGGTGGGGCCTCGGCATCAGTAGGATTTAAAATCACCTCAGGTGATTCAAATGTGATCCCGAATTGAGAAGTCTTGCTGTGCAGTGATTCGGGATTGCATTTTCTATGCTAGAGGGAGAGGTTTATCCGCCAACTTGCTCCAGCAGGAATACCTGAGCTTTCTAGGACCTCCAGGAAGATTCTCCCTGTGTAAGTCCCATCAGGGTAGGTGTGATAGGTGCAGAAGTACTCCCCTGTATCATTCATGGTCAGCGACTGGAGGGTGAGGCCCAGGCCAGGACCCGGGGCCACTCGATCCTTGAAGGCTGGGAAGATGTGCCACCCCAAGTCAGCATTACGAATGGCCAGAAGCGAATGGTCATGCTGCTCCCAGTTGACCTGGGTCACTTGTGCCATGGTGGAGGAGAGGTGACATTGTAAGATAACAGAGCCACCTTTCTTTGCAGAAATGTTCCCCGTTGTTTCTATTGTGCCTGTCATCATTCCTAGGGAAGAGGACAAAGCACATGTGAGTCCTGGGTCAGCAGCTGGCCTACAACCTTCCTAGAAAAACTCTAAGGGGCTTTGAGGCCACAACTGGGTTTTGGAATGATAATTTCTCCAGTCCATCCTGTTGCTCCCCAATAGAGGCTGTAATTATTTCCTGTTTCTTGCATTTCAACAGACGCTCCTCTCCATGCCTGTTATTGAAGGCTCCCAGTCCCCCTCAGGTTGTCTTTCCAGTCTTCTCATCCTTCTCCACACATCTCTACTCCAGCCCAGCCCAGTCCCTCTCCTCCCCACCCACTGCCCTATGCTTCCAGAGCCGACTTCTGCCCCACTTTACGTCCCACCCACAGGAAGGCTTGTCAAAGCTGAACTCCCTCCCCGCCTCCTAGAAGACCCCAGCCCATCTCAATCTCCCTTTTCCTTTCACATTCACTGCCCGCATTGTACAATTAGCACCTTACTAAATGCCTGGCTTATGACTACACAACTTAGCCGTTGCCCCCTCAGCATATTCTGCTGTGTAGCTTCCTGGCTAGCTTGTTATTTTCATAGGCCTATTTTGTCTACCCACTTAGAATATAAGCCCTTGTCAGCCGACACCACCTCTTCTGTTTTTGTTTTATTTTGTTTTGTTTTTATGTTTCTTGCCGCAGCCTAGTTCTGTGCTGGATGCATTATCCTTTGAAATAAAACCTTGCTGTTTGGCTGATTGTCATTTGCAGTGCCTGAAAAAACCTTCAGGAAAGCCAAGAAATCCAATAGAAAAGGAAGCTTAGCAGGAAACCCTGCTTCTCCCAGGCGCAACCACCCTCTCAGCACTTAACCTCTCCCCAGCACCCCTGGGCACATCTCCATCCTCAGATAGTTCAGAAAGCAACATAAAAACTACTTTATACCACGGTTTTTAAATATTTGTGTTCCCCTCCCTCAGAAATAGTTGACTCCGATTTTTAATATAGAAGAAATGAATTTAACAAAAAATCGGTCTCTAGTGGTAGAATCTCTGGAATCTGTGAAAAAGACATTTTCAATTCACAGAGAACTTAGAATGTTTTCCTGGAAAGTTCCTCAAAGGCAACAGAAAAGAAGCCGGAGCAGGAATGAGCTTCTGAAAGCAAACTGGCAATGCCTCCTGCCCAGCCCTCCTTCTTCTCCTGCTCCTTGTACTGGCCAGTCAGGCTCCCCCAACCCCGAGAGTCTACAGAGTCCTTCATCTGCCACCAAAAACAGAACCGCACCTCATTCTCAGAGATTGTCCTTTCTTACATGAGAGTACACAGGACCCTAAAAGCTGCAATTTCTTTCTCTCAAGCAGCTGTGGCATGCTCTTGGAGTCTTCCCTACCCAAGCACCCAAGTCTCCACACCAAGCTTAGCCTTGTTTTTCCTCCCCGCTGCTCTGCTGGGTTTCAGGCCTTACCTGAGGCGAGGGGAGCCTGCCTCAGCCCCTGGGCCCAGATCAGGAAGAGACACCACCGCATGCTTCTGCCCAGAGGGCCTACAGGAAGCAGATGTGGCCTCTTCTGCCACCGAAAGTAGCCGACTGCAGATAGGACGGTAAAACTGAGCCTATGAGAAAAGACAGTCTCAGAAAAACCAAGTTTGGCAAAAACCATGTTAAAAACACATAAAGTTTTCAACAAATACACAAACTGCATAGGGGGAGCCACAAGAAAGGCCATGAAGGAAACATTTAAAAATAAATGAAAATTGTGGTTAGAGGTACACTCGTCTTTGGACTATAATTAGTCAATCTATTGTTTTTAAGTTCTGTCTTAATGTATTTTCTAAAAATCAACCTGTATTCAAAGAGCTCAAGGGCATCTGTGTAGTGCCCAAGTTCTGAATAATCTGCTACTGATGAGGAACTGTTGGCTGAGCTCCTCCGGCATCCTCCTGATGAAGAATGTGCAATGATAAGAGAAACTTATAATTGTAGGGACTTATAGGCCAGGGACTGCACTTGAAATCTAATGAACAAGTGAACAAGAAGCATTTACTTGAGGGATGATACATGGATGGGACAAAGGTCTTGGACAAACACAGCAACTTTTTCTTTGAGATCTTCTCCTCGAATCTTATTTCTTTTGTCTTGTTTATCTAGACTGAGACTTCGTTGAATTCTGGCTTAGTTTCTCTGGTGCAGTAGGATCAGAGGAGATTAGAGGAGTGAGCTTTCCTGTGCACGCTGACCTCATGAGAGCTAGAAATGCAAAGAAGGGTGAGCCCCTGGGGGCTGACCCAGGAGAGGGATTGGTTGACCTTTGCCTGGAGCTCCCATCCCATCATCAGATCCTACCATGGACCCATCCTTCTTTCCTCCCTCCCTCCCTTCATTCATTTGAAAGTCCCTGAGTGCCTACAAAGCACCAACCTCAACACCAGGCTCTGAAGATATGAGAGTAAATAATCACAGCCCCTACCCTCAAAGAGTTTACAAAGCTTGTTCCCTGGTGAACTCAGTCAGGAGAGGGGGTAGAGGATCCACGTTCACCTGCCTCGCAGGCTCTCAATACAGTTACCTTGGGGATGCTCCATGTTGTACATCCTGAAAATCTGCATCTGCATCCAGAAGCATCTGAAGCCTGGTGCCCTGCCCCCTCCATTCCAGCCATGCATCTCTAGCATTTCACACCATCCAGGCTCCTGCCCTCCTCCCTTGCAAGGTTTTCTATCTCAGGCCAGTCTTCTCCCCTCTCTGGGTTCTGCCTATTCCCAACTCTATGACTTGTATACCCCTTATACCCCACCTTCAGACCCTTAGACAATATATGCCTTACCAGCTTCTCTCTGCCTACCCAATTCAACCTGTCCTTCAAGGCTCACATCAAGAGATGCCTTGCCTCTCAATAGCTACCATGTCTTCAACTGAAGGAGCAATCATACCTAATGTGTGTACAAGGGAAGGTGCTGAGGTTGAACTGGAGGGATGCTTCCCAAACTCACTAAGGCCAGGGAGCCAGGAGTGGCAGGGCCAAGAGCAGCTAGTGGGACTAGAGCACAGAAAGTGGCCGACACTAGTATTTGGGTTATAAAAATTTACAACGTGTGTTTCCATAGTGGGGGTGGGTGGGAGCCAAAGAGGTGAGACCTGTCCTATGAAATGAGATATCCAAAGAAACTTAGAATTGGTTTTAAACAATTGCTAAATAATTTTTCTGTTTGTTGCTAAGTAACCAGTCCAAAGAGAAACATGGTCAGGTCCATTTTGATCAATGGTGCTCTCCAGGGGGATAATTAACAGACTGGGTCCAAAATCATCCTGTTTAGTGACCTTGGAAAACTTTCTCAACCTCCTGAAGCCTCAGTTTCCCCATCTGCATATAGGAATAAGAGTACCTCTTTCATAGGGTTGTGAGGATTTAATGAACTAGTGTTCGGTGAAGTGTTCAGCACAGTGCCTGGAACATGGCGGGGGTTCAATACATCAGTAATAGTATTGATAACCATATTAATTAAGGAAGTGAAAGGAAAATCGGAGGACAATATCCCTATCTATATAATGTGCTTTGCCAAGAGTAAAATCCTTGTCTCCAGACTCCAAGGCCAGGGTTCCACCCAACCTCTTCATTCTGCCCTCCTTATCGGATAGAACAGGAGGACAGGATGTTTCTGCAGGAAAGTGACCACTTGCCAGCTAGACTCTGAGGCTGCCTTGGAGGAAAGCAAATGACAGAAGTCTCTTTCCTGGGAATCTACCCCAGACCCCCCAGAGCCTCCTGCAGAGACTCCACGGGGAACCTGGCTGGTTCCCACCCACTCAACACCAGCCCCCAGCACTGAGCGGCTCAGCTGTGAGAAGCAGGCCTGCTCTGAGAGCGCCCGGGGCCACCCTGAGCCTTCAGGGCTAGTCAGCAGCCCTTGCAGCATAGCAGGGATCTGTGAGGTCCGTCAGGTGCTGACTCACATTTCCATTTTAAAAATGCTAAAATCAGCCACTGTGCTTTATTCTCCCCTGACTTTTGGGGCTGTAAGTTAGACAAGTGTGGTCCGCCTTGATGGAACTGGGTGAGTATAGGTGCTGAAAAGGAATGTCACGTTTGCCTGTGAAAAGGGAAGAAGTGCTGGCTTAGACTGTGAAACCCCCTTATAATAGTTCACAGCTGGGCCTTCCCCCAGCCCGCCCTGAGCCCTGTGAAAGTCCCGGGCCAGACGCACTTGAGTCCACAGCCTCCAACCACAGGCACAGTCCCGAAAACCTGTGGCCCTCAGCCCTCAGCCAAGCGGGGCTGGGAGCGGTGGTACCTTCCAGAAGATCCGTGACTTGTACACGGGAAACACAACCTAGGGTTCTCCCAGAGCACAGACCAATCTCCCAGCAGTGTCTTTGGGCTTCTGCTTCTCCAGAGTCTTCCCTCTGGCTCAGATGTGGTAGGAGAGCTCCAGAGCTGTCACAGCTGTCTGAGGCCTCCTGTCTCTGCCTCGAACAAGGGCAACATCCTGCAGCAGGAGGGGGTCGTGCTCTCTCCTCCAAGCTCCCCACTCTCCGCTCTGTAGAGCAGCGCCTCCTGGTGGCAGGTTGTATTATGGCGGGGGGCGAGAAGGCCCTGCCTCCTGCTGTAGATGTAAGAAGAGAAGGGCGAGGAAGCACCGGAGGCCTGACACAGGGGAGACCAGGGGACCTGGCCGCCCGGGGCACCAGGAAGGGCTCGTCCTGTGTCCCATCACCCCCAACTGCCTTGCAGCCTTAGCCAAGCTTCCTCACAGTGGGGTGGTCTGAGTAATGGAGTTCCAAAGCCACTTGTGGAGAGAGCTGCCTCAGAAAATCAGACTCCACTCGAAAGGACTGCCCATGATCTGAGGCTTATTGAGCCGTGGGACTTGGCTGACACTGGAAAATACAAATGAGGAGAACTTGGGGTGGGACCGCTGACTTCTGTTTGTCAAAGCTCCCTCCCGTGGGGTGACTCTGAGGATCTATCTCCTCCATCCTCCAAGGCTGCCAAGAAGTTCAACCGACTATAGGAAATTTCTTTCTTCTTCCCAGCTGTGAAAATAGGACAGAGACCCCTAGGATAGGTTGGAATGCAGAGTCAGAAGAAAAATCTTTGGAAAGAGGCAGCTGATCCTCTCAGCTTAGGCCTCTCCTGCCGCCTCTCTTCACAGCCCTCCTACCCACCCACATTGCTTCCCTCTTTCTCCTCCTCCATCCTAGATGGAATTAAACTATTGTATAATTAGAAAACTTGTTAAAGCAATGATACTTGTTAAGCACTCTTGACACTTGTTAAGCAATGACACTTGTTAAAGGTAAGGCAGCCTTTATTCAGTACCATCACAGTAGGTATAGAGACCAAGGCAATGGGATTTTGCAGTGGGGTAGAGACTGGGCTCAATTCTGAGTACAGCATGGGCAATGGGAATTTATCACCAAGAATCAGGGTAGAGGTCAGTGGATGGAAAAGTGCTAAGAGGAAACATCACGGGTAAAGAAGATTCTGACTAAACTGACCTAATGGGATTCTTGCTAAAGACAGGCCAGGGTAGATCAGACATAACCTGAGAAATGGTGGAGGATGAGAAACCTGATAAGATATCAAGGGTGATCAGATATAGGGGGACAGGGATTCTTGAGAAACTGACTTATCCTTGTTCTTGGCTAAAAATGGATTTTATAAGGAAGTGCATGGATGGGCCTAGGAAAATGTTCAGGAGCCTGACAAAGATTGGTCAAGCAAAGAATCATTGTCACTCTCAATCCTTTATGCTATCAATCCACCCCAGTTTTTTGCCTTGGGAAAGGTAGCCTCTACCCCTGAACACTTCCTTCCTTCTTTCTCCTACCTAGAGCCCTCAGTCATCCAAGACAACTAGAACTGGGATAGAAGTACACATGAACATATCATTCCAAGACTCCCTCAAGCATCAAGAGCTCCTCCTGCCCCCAACAAATGAATGCCATACCTAAAAGATTTCACAGAGACTATAACAAACTTCTGAAGAGCAGATAATTTCAATGTTACTTAAAATATACAGACACAGAACACAAAGATTTCTTAATTAGTTTTGTGATATGAATTCAAACTTCATATAAAAGTGATTAAGATTGCACACAATTAAAGAATGCCAGATTTGAATCTCACTTCCAAATATTGAGGAAAAAATTCTAAATAAAATTTTGTTACACAGAGTCCAATAATATATTAAGCAAAATACATAATTATCAGATAGGATTTATTCCAGGGTAGCAAGAATGATTCAATGCTGCAAAATTCATTAATTAATAAATATAAAGTCTATATTTTTCAAAGCCTATAATCATTTCCTTTGATTCTGATAAGCAGTCTGACAAAATCAATCCCCATGATCTTTTTTTTTTTTTTTTTTTGAGACAGATTTTCTTGTTGCCCGGGCTGGAGTGCAATGGCACCGTCTCGGCTCACTGCAACCTCCATCTCCCGAGTTCAAGCAATTCTCCTGCCTCAGCCTCCCAAGTAGCTGGGATTATAGGCATGCACCACCATGCCTGGCTAATTTTTTGTATTTAGTAGAGCCGGGGTTTCACCATATTGGTCAGGCTGGTCTCAAACTCCGGACCTCAAGTGATCCATCCACCTTGGCCTCCCAAAGTGCTGGGATTACAG